AAGATTTAAAGTACTCCAAGAGGAAATGATAGAGACCCCAACAACAGCAAAACGTACTACAAACAGGAAAAAAGAACCTGCAAGAGCATGGAGGAAAAAAGCTAAGAAAGAACCTTGTACCGAAGAGGTTAGAGTTCCTCTGCAAAATCAACAGCAAGAAAATCAAAGCCACTTTGTTTTTGGTGAAACAAGCTGGAGAACAGTAGGGACAGCAGGAACAGAGGAAGCATCGAATAAGTGTAATGAAGTAAGAGAAAATATGGGGGAGAATAACAAGGGTTTGGAAAAGGAGAAAAAGCAAGATGCAGCCCAACGACAAAGATCACAAAATGAACAACCCCAAAAAGAGAGAAAAAAGATATCTGGAAGTAAAAGGAGTCAGGTTTCAAGGCCTAAAGTTGTTTTCCCCGTGCTAAAGAGAAAGTCCACGGTCAGACTCAATCAAATAGTCATTGGGTCTATGAGCAAGAAGGGCCCAATAAATTTAAATGGTCTTTTTGATGAAGCCCAAACACCTTCAATGCCACAACAGGAAGGGAATACGGAACTGAAAATTGCATCACAAAAGGACCTCATGCAGAAACTCCAAGAACATCATGAGATGGAGGTCCAAGTGATGAGATCGCCAAAGAAACCTCCAGACTCGTTAAACATAACCAGCGAAAATAACCATGAAGCTAAGAATGGGGAATTAAATGACATGTGGTTCGAAACCTAGGACGAAGTTAAGGAAGAGATGCAAGTTGGAACAAATGACATGGTAGCAAGCCTCGGCTCCCATTAAGGAGGTATGACTTTCTTCCTTTTCATTGGGTGTATTATGAATATTATTGCTTGGAACTGTAGAGGAGTCGCCTCTAAAACCTTCCCTTTAAGAGTGGCTGACTTAACCAGAGGAAAGAAGATTGATCTACTTATCCTGATAGAAACACGAGTTAGTGGGAAAAAGGCTGATAGAATTATAAGACAATTGGGATTCAATAACTGGATACGCTTGGAGTCCACAGGATACGCAGGAGGTATTTTGGTGCTGTGGAATGAAGAAGAAAATAGAGTGGAGCTACTAACTTCCACAACCCAGTTACTACATGTCAAGGTGGAGAGTAAAATTTAGAACTGTTCGACCCTGCTTTCCTACATTTATGCTGAACCTTGTAGTAATCTGAGAAGACAACTTTGGTCAGACCTTATAGACTTAAGTAGAAATGTGGAGGAACCATGGCTTGTATTAGGCGATTTCAATGCTTATCGACGACATGAGGACAAAAGAGGCGGGGGGAATATCAACATTTTATCAATGAAACAATTTGAAGAATGCATACAAGAAACACAATTAGTAGAAGTGGAATGTGTGGGGCAGAAGTTCACTTGGGAAAGAGGTTTGCTCATGGAAAAAATTGACTGGGCTTTTGCTAATACTGATTGGCTAGACCTTTTCCCATTAACCAAAGTTTACACTTTGAACAAGTTTGGCTCAGACCACAGAGCCTTACTACTAAAAAGTGAACTTGAACAGAGCAGGGGGAAAATAGCTCCACCTTTTAGATGCCAAGCAGCATGGATTTTAGAGAGTGATTTTGTGGATATTATTCAAAAGTGTTGGTCTACTGGAAATTGGGCTGAGTAGATCAATTCATTCAGGCATGAAGCTACTTTGTGGAATAAAAAGCGAATAGGAAACTACAAAGCTAGAAGAACTAATCTGCTAAATAGGATTGAAAAAATAGGAAGAGAAAGAGGCAGAAGGGATTCTCAATGCCTTTGGCAGTCAGAGCAAGAACTTTGGAATGAGTATAATAAAATTTTGGCCCAAGAGGAGCTAATGTGGTTCTAAAACTCCAGGAATAATTGGCTAAAATGGGGTGATCAGAATACAAGCTTCTTCCATGCTCAAGCAAATATGTACAGAAGACAAAATAGAGTTGATGGGTTAAAGAACAGTGAGGGGGAATGGATTTACGATCAGAATGAACTCAAAACAATGGCACTGGATTTCTATAAAAGTCTATTTAAATCGGAGCCCATAAGTGGGAATGGTTTTCAAACTCTATGCCAATTTCCAGGTATTGAGAACCAAGACTTCCAAGAGTTGGCAGCTGAAGTTAGTAATGAAGAAATTAGAGAAGCTATATTCAAAATGGGTGCTTTTAAGGCTCCAGGCCTAGATGGTATACAAGCTTTTTTCTATCACCAATATTGGAATGTTGTGGGGCCTTCAGTTTGCAGAATGGTCTTAGAAATGATACAAGAACCGGCTAGAGTGTCAACCATAAACGACACAAATTTGGTTTTAATTCCCAAGAGCAATCAGCCAAAGATGCTAAAGGACTTCCGCCCCATTTCTTTGTGTAATGTGAGCTACAAAATCATCATAGCCATCAATGTAGCTTCATAAGTGGAAGACAGAGTAGCGATAATATTATCATAGCCCAGGAAGTTATTCATTCAATGAAAAAGAAAAGAGGTTCGAGGGGTTGGCTAGCGGTGAAGGTTGATCTAGAAAAAGCATATGACAGACTGGAGTGGGGGTTTATCAATGATACCTTAGTAGCTGTGGGCTTACTAGCTTCGATCTGTAATATTATTATGGCTTGCATTACAAGTCCTTCTTATAAAGTTCTATGGAATGGAGCTCCCACGCAACAATTTAAGGGTACTCGAGGGATTCGACAAGGGGACCCAATATCCCCTTATATTTTTACCCTTTGTATGGAGCGGCTCAACCACTTAATCATAGACTCGATAAGAGAAGGTGAATGGAAACCGGTGAAGCTCAGTAGGAGAGGGCCTCCTTTATCCCACCTATTTTTTGCTGATGATCTAATCCTATTTGGTGAAGCTTCGGAGCTACAAATTGATGTGATGATGAAATGTCTTGACATTTTTTGTGGAGCATCTAGACAGAAAATGAACAAAGGAAAAATGAAGATTTGCTTCTCAAGAAATGTTCACTTCTCGAGGGCTATCTCTCTGAGCCAAAAAATGAGAGTGGGAATGACGGGAGATATAGGAAAATACCTGGGCATCCCTCTCATCCACAAAAGAGCTTCCTATAGATTATTTACTCCCATTTTGGAGAAAACAAATAGCAGATTAGCGGGGTGGAAGAGGAAATATCTTAATATTTCAGGGAGAGCAGTACTAGTTAAATCGGTGATGGCAACACTACCGTCCTATCATATGCAAACAATGCTCCTACCCAAAAAACTAATAAGTGAGATTGAGAAAAAGAGTAGGAATTTTCTTTGGGGGGGCAATGAAGAAGAGAGGAGAATGCACCTCGTTTCTTGGGATGAACTAACCAAGGATAAGAGAAGTGGTGGTTTAGGTATGAAAGACCTACGCAAGCAAAATGAGGCTCTTATTATGAAATTGTGCTAGAATATGGTATGTAGACCTGATGATTTATGGGTGCAAGTCATCAAAGCGAAGTATAAATGTGGTGAGGATGAGATACCGCGTGTCAACAAAAGAAAGAACTCATCCCTTACACGGAGAAGCATATGCAAAGTATGGAATCGTTTTACTACTGGCTTGGCAATGAAGATAGGAAATGGAAGGAAATCATCCTTTTGGTTTGACAAATGGTCTGAAATGAACATTCCTTTGATTGAAATAATACCAAGAAATGAAGGGTTGATTGATAGTACTGAAAGGGTCACCGATTATGTAACTAAGGATGGAGAGTGGAACAAGGAGAAGATGAGAACCTGGTTTCCACCTAACATCGTTGATTGTATCACTCATGTGCATCCACCCCGAGAGGAGAGAGGAGAGGATAAACACTTGTGGAGACCGGCCTCCGATGGCCGTTTTTCTGTTAAATCTGCATATTTGTTTCTTTGTGCAGGTACTCAAAGGAGGGAGGATAGCATATAGAAGCAGCTATGGAGCTGGAGAATACCTGAAAAGATCAAGTCTTTCATGTGGTTGTTCTATTATGACAGATTACACATAGGCCAATTGAGGAACAAGAGAGGAATTAGGGATTGATCAACAGCTTGCCCATTTGGTTGTGAGGAAGAGGAAGATGCTATGCACCTGCTTCGAGACAGTACAAATGCAAGGGAAAGATGGCGATCAGTATTACTGCCCTCCCTATGGGTAGAATTCTTTTCTTTGCAGGGTACACAATGGCTAGAATGGAACCTACAAAAGGAAGCTGGAATGGCTTTCACTCGCAAAGTCCGATGGAGCAGTTTGTTTGGCTATGTATGTTGGGACATATGGACATCTAGATGCCGGAAACTATTTGGAGAGGAAGGAAACTATGAGCACAACAATGCCCAAGCAAGTTTCTTTAGAGCCTGCTCGGATTTTGGTCTTAACAGAAAATGTGATAAATTGAATAATAGATATTTAAAGGGTCTAGCTTATCAGAGGACACCCGAAGGATTTATTGTTGTGGGGGTAGATGGATCAGTCCTCAACAACAGGAATAGTGGATGTGGAGGGGTGATCAAGAATAGAGATGGAAATTGGATTGTGAGTTTCAGCTGTAAACTCTCAAGAGTCCCACCCACTATTGCGGAACTTATCGGTATAACTCAGGGACTTTACCTCAGTTGGACCAAGGGCTTTAGGAGAATTCATTTGTTGTCGGATTGTATGGAGGCACTCAATTTGATCATCCGAGGATGTGACCATAATCACCCGTATCATGATGTAGTGGAGGAAACTCGGATGCTGCTTTGTAGGGATTGGCAAGTGTTAATAAGCCACAGAGACCGGGAGGAGTTATCTACTGCAGATCACTTATCAAGAGCCGCACATGAGATGGAAGGAAGCTACAAATCTTTTGACCAACCCCCTCCTTGTGTTTTGCAGGAGGATGAAAGATGATGAAAGTTGTTTTTTGCTTTTTCAGTCTTGGTTAGCTATTTAGGCTTTAATATTGTTGTACTCTGATTGGATTGTATTCAGCTTTTATCCAAAAAAAAAAAAAAGATACAGAGGGGAGGGAAAGAGACGGAAGTTACAGAGAGAGGATTCCCTTCTCACTAACCCTCCTCCGCATATATAACGCTGCTTTCATATTGTTGAGATTCCATGCGGTTACTGCTAACAGCATCATGCAAAGGCACCATACTTATTGGGTGATCGTAAGCCACGTGTCCTCTTTGGATCCCACTAATATTTGGCAGAATCATGACAGATAATTACATCATTTTAATTTTCACATTCTTGAACGTTATATAAAGTTTAATTAGTATCTATGATCGATATCGGGAAAGCAATGTAAAATTTGTATGTGTCCATATATATATATATATATATATATTTTGTGCCGTTGTGATTCTCTTTATTTTTTGATAATAGCAATTTTTTATAACATATCAAACACAATTATTTTTTGATAAAAATATTTATATTTTCATTCTTATAATTATTCAGATTCTCATTCTCACTTCACTCATTTTTATAAACCAAAATAAATATTAATCAATTGTTCACATTATGTGAACAGTGGTCTCAGCCTTGTTTGGGGTGGAAAACAACCATTGTTCTCCTAATATAAAATTATCTAATTTATACATACCAATAAAATAATTTTAACTAATTTTATGTCTTGAAACATCTTTCCATCATTATACGTACTCTTACCCCCAACTGGTACTCTTAATTTCTTAGCTAAATTTTTCAAGCAAAAGTGAATATCAGGGAATTGCAAAGATATTCGCCGTAACAAATCTATGCCTTGATGATCATTCCCTCAATTGCTTGGCCTCTACATTTAACGCATGCACTCGATTTTAGGAAGTTGTAACTATAAGTACGTTAATTAACCAGTGTTGCCTGTAAAAAAGAATTAACATTGTAAATTACCAAAGCAGTATACGAATCTCAGGGAACTCAAGTGCAAATAATTTCATATCCCGGAAGGACAAAAAGGAAAAAAAAATTAGAAAACGATATGGACCGACATGCATGTGCATCCTATATGTTCCTTTTGCTCTCTTTCCTAAGAAAGAGACGACCAAGCCAATTGGAATGGTGTGACCACAAGGACCGACCTATGGAGAAGAGATTCAAAAGGCAAATTCACCAAATAAGATATTTAAAGGACAAAGTAATTAACCCTAGTATTTCAAGATTACAATACGTATACATCTCCAAAGCAAACCACAGTTGCCAGCCACTGCCCATCAGAACGGGTAAAAATTCTTATCATGGGAGGTTCGTGTAGGAGGTAACATCTCATCTTGCTCCTAATCTATGAACAAACCCCACACATACAGAGATAATGGCTCAGATTGTCCTTTCACTTTTGATAACCACATGCCAGCATGATTACTTGAAAACGAAATTAGAAGTTTATAGTACAAACAAATATACTAATTTGGACTATGGGGCAAGCATCAATAAGAAATCACCTATCAAAGAAATGCAATGAGTCACCATATTTTGCCCCAAAAAAATACAATTGGAGGTTCACAAAGACAATTTGAAAGGAAAGGCTTGTGCCAGTTTACATATATCCTTCGGACACGCCTCCACCAAGAGGAATCTTGAGTGAAAATCATAGAATGAGCAAATGGTAGTCTACCAGGGAGTTGCCTGTCCCTAGCACTCCATGTACTTTTGCCAACTTCAAGCCTCCTCAGTCCAAATAGATTAGGCTTCACATGAATGGAGTATGCAAATAGCACACCTGAATTAGCAATGGTGCTGCAAATTATCTTCCGTGATGACTTGCTCTTAACTTGAACAAGCAGATCAGTTTCTGAAAAGCCTCCAGCTGTGACATGTGCAGCATCAGGGAAGAAACCTTCTTTTGGTTGTACAGAAAGAACATCTAAACAATATGAGAAGACTGCACTATAAGCATTGCTGATTCATTGAACAATGAGCCCTTCTACTCTGCTTATCCAGCAAGCGATCTGTCAAAAATAAGCACAGAACAAATGAACAGAATCAGTGAATGAAATTGAAACCAACGAAATATAAGATTTCATTCACATGCTTAGCAAGGGATATACAAATTGTCTCCAAAGAAATGTAGAAATAAAATCCAAGGACACACCTCTACAGATTGGTACTGCCCCAGTCAAGGCACTGGCTGCATGCGTATGAGGACTCAGCATAAACTTAGATCCATTTCATCAGCCATTTTTTCACATATGGTTCATTCACAGAATATAGGAAGAGACTTCTGCAAAATATAATACAGAAAGCAGGCATCAGTTTGAAAATTTTGTAACGCAGGGAAAGATGTTAAAATTTAAATGCGCGTGTTTTACATATCTAGCAATAACCAAAACGAGGAGAGGAATCATGGACAAGGAATATGCCCTCCATATTTAACATGGCTCAAAAGAATGGGAGTTGGCAGTGATCAAACAAGTGACCAATTAGTAGTTGGTCATAAAGACCTTAATACCATGTCATAGACAAGGAATATGCCCTTCATTAGTAATTTTGCTCAGTTAATTAATTTCCTGTCTTTCAGTAGATACCCACTCCAACTACTACGATCTGACCTAAAACAGAAGCAACCAGCGAGAAAGGTTTTCACATAAAACATAGCCAGAGAGTACTCCAATTTCAAAACCAACAAAGTAATAATGGTTGAAATACAAATTGAAGAATCAAATATTAGACACCCCCAATGCGAGAGCTCAAAGCCCGGCTGTAATTCTGTGGATTTCATAACCCAATGTAGCATCCCAACATCGTATCAAGCTGTGAGGAAACAAAGATGGCTGAGAATTGTGAACATATTTCACCAGCTAGTGCTAAAAATCAAAGTTTCGATGTTTCGACAAAACACAAAAGTACGGGATCATTAAGCTGCTTTTTCTACTTCATTGTTTGCAGGAAGCTGGCCACACATTAAATCATGGCAGACATATATACCGGTGAAAAATGACCCAAAACTTTCTCATATTCATATCATTAACATTTGTACTCCAAGTGACACCCAAAACTCGTCCTGAAATTATATGGAACTCATTTAATAGAAACCTAGCAGAGTACATAGAGAATCTATAGCAAGCCTTATAATTCGGGAGAAGAAATCTCACCATTAACCCGAGATTTGACGATATGGACGTAGGTCCAGAGTTTGATTTAACTTTTTAATGATAAATTTCTCTCGGGATAACAAAAGGCCGTTTATCCCAAATGGACCTAACGATGATAAAATCCGGTCTTTTTACCATAAAGAATGAATTAAAAAAATAAAAAAATATTCTTATCACTGTTTCTCTTTTAAGGATTTTCGTGTATTTCAAGATTAATAAATTTTATTCCACATGAATTGCCTGTAAAGTTGCGTTTCTTGGATTTGAATATGTACACAATTGGAACGACAAATATGATCACGGGTTTTAAAGGCAAGCCAATTTTCATCAATTATATTATGACTTCGATTTTTTCCCCCCTTAGTCTGATGCAGAATTAATTTTCTGTAGTTATGAAATATTAGAAGTAAAGAAATCATCACCTTATGGCCCATTTGGTAACAAGGAATTAGAGGGAATCGCTCAGTTGAATTCAGCTGATGAAATTCTTCAAGATCCAATAGAAGTGGGCAGATCATCCAACTTGAGGCAGCTTCTTTGTGAAAGGAGCAACCATTGTAGATCTGCAGTTGATGGCGAAGTCAACGGCCGACTGATGACGAGGAGGAAGACGATGGTCGCTTGAAAACAAGCTCGAAGTGCATTGGTTGAAATATAATGCAACGAGTGCATGTGTGCCACTGCAAACATAAGGAGGCTGTAATTAGTAGGTACAAACCAAAAAGAGGTACTAGGAACAGAAATCACATCTACCACTACCACTAAAACTACAGTACCATACCTTTTTGAAGTGAATGGGAGCCATATATGTATCAAGTTGAAGTGGCGGGCACATCATTCAACTTGAGAGCATGCTTTTTCTTTAGATTGAATTTTTTTAATGTAATCTTGACATTCAGCTATGGGGCATACCCCACACTCTTTGATCTTTGCTTCTGTTATCATTTTGCCACCCGGCTTACGGAGTCTGAACTTAATTTCAACACGTGGACGATAAGTCTTGCTTTGAGCATCTCTTTCCTTTGATTCAATCTTCCTTTTTAGTTGTCGTAATGAATCTGGACGATACCAAAGAAAAACATGATCTGACGACGTCACCAAAAACGAGCTATCGTCAACCCTGCAAGCATATTGACTATCAACAAACCATCGGACCTCAATTTCTGTCCACTGTGGTAATTCAGAAACGACGGCGCCAAAAAACAATCTCCCATCCCAAGATCGTGGAATCGAAGAGAGATTCACAGTCATGGGATCCTCTTTAGTACTCTTAAACACGAACCACTTTGGAAGTCTTTCTCCTGGATATTCCAATCTAGCAAAGTCATAAATGGCCTTATTTATCTCAAGTAGCACTCTTGCCTCAGCAGCTTTGATTGCCCGTCGATTCAGCTTCTTGCAATTTGTGAATATAAAGCACGGATATGCCTTCTCTTTTCCTTCTTCACCTTCGTTTGTCAAAGGTGAATATTGTATGGTCTCAAGGGATGTGCAGTTAGCGGCATTCAATGTCAAGATAGAGGGAGGGAGCTCTAATAGACAACAAAGATTTTTACATCCAGACAGGTCAAGACTTGTCAGGCGTGGAAGATGTTTGATGCTTAGAGGCAAGGTCTGTAAATGACTCCCTGAGAGATTTAACTCAACTAATGATGACAGCGACCTGATTTCATTAGGAAGTTCAGATAATTCATTGCAATCCGGAAGCCATAGAACTTCCAAAGCACGCATCTTATCACAGTTGGACAGGAGACGTGATGCTAGCCCATTACACCGTCCAGCTTCAAGACGTCGAAGGTCACGCAGCTTAATCAATTTGTGAACACTTGTCACATTTCTGCAAATGCTTAGAGACAATGAACGAATTTTGCTGCGATGCCCACTTGATGAGCGCAACGCACCACTGATGGCAGTTCCTGAAAGGTCTAAATAGAACTCATCATTTTCTGAGGTCACTGAAAATTCCTCCAGACTTGAGCAACCACCTGCATCGAGCCGAATGAGAGATCGGAGATGGGTATCGCTTGTAAGGCTGGTAAGGGACTTGCAGAGGCGTAGCCATAAACCACGCAGGCTGTGGCGAGATAAAATAGATGGATGAACACTTTGCAATTTTGAACACAGATTGAGATTAACAAGTTCAAGACGTGTGGCCTTGGAAAAATCTGGGAGTTCAATCAAGTCTTCTGATTGAGCGAGCGTAATTTTGATTAAGTTCGGAAGATTCTGTAAAAACATAAATTACATGGTAAGATTGGTGGCCAAAACCAAATTAAATTACTCATCTATTCCTTTTTATAAGGTTTCGCTGCCTGTTTTGGTGAGAAAATTTGTTGAAATTAGCTATTGTGAACAAATTTTACAACTTTTCATAATCTTAATCAATACTCCCTTCGATTGAAGATATCAAATAACTAAATCACATAACTTGAATAAAATTAGTTATAAATAATAAGTAATAAAAGAAAATGTAACTTATTTTCTTAAAACACGTTTGTTTATGAAGAGGATAAGTGAGAGAAAAAATATGTAGAAGAAGAGATATGAGAGAATTAAAAAAAAAAGAATTAGAAAGATATATAATTAATTAAAAGTAAAAATAAAAATGATGTATTTAATGATTAGGTAAATCCAAATTATAACTTATTAAAAAAAAAAAGCTTCAAAGATTTGATGCTTATAGTTCAACAAAGATAGTAATCTTTACAAGTAAAGATCATGGAGCTTAGTGAGAGGGTAAAAGACGAAGGCATTTATTTAGAATGGGTTATCAATTTGTAAGAGATTTTATCTGGACCTTATAAAAAGGACTAAGGAGAGAGTACTTAATAAAGATTTTCTAACTGATGTATTAACAATATTTACAAAGGACAAAATATAAAATTCACCTGCACTCCATCCCAAAGTCTTGTCAAACTGCTGTGGGGCATTTCAAATTGAACAAGATTTTCAGCCTTGAATGTTGCTGGCAAGGACTCACAAGGGTATGCCATCCAACGCAATTTTATGAGTCCTTCTGGCAAAAAGTCTAATCCATCAGGGATTTCTATTTTGACTTCATCTCCACCATCGACTTTGCAACAAGAATAAAAATTAAGAATCTTTACGTTGGGCATTGAAAGAAAGGCTCCAGGACTTAAGCGCATCTCTCCAACTTTTGAAAGGTTCAGTCTTACACCTTCAATGGCTTTACTTCTCTAACAAATGGACAAAAATAATTTTAGTAATAAAAATATTATGCAAATTAAATAGGAATACTGAATTCAAAAAAATTTTATATAAAAAATATGACAAAATTTTGCTCTTACCTTTTTTGCCCCCAATATTTCAGATATTTCTTTAGGATCCCATAATCGACTGCGCTTTCTAAGATTCCTTGGTGACCCATCACGAACAACCTGTCGACCCATTTCTCTTAGCAGATCGTGCATTGATATTCTCCCAAATTTATCAACTTGTAAAAGAGCTGCCTCTCTAAGTCTTTTCAATTCAGAACAGATTGAATAACCACGTCGTGCTTTTAACAAATCTTTTACCGCCTCAACACCATCAGTTAAAAGACATCCCTCAACATCATTATCACCAGTTAAAAGACATGCGATATCCAGGAAACTCTCTCTCTCTCCAGCATCAAGTCCTTCAAGACTTATTTGTAGAACTTCGTTAATTCGTTGATCAGGTAATTTTTGAAGCTTTTCTAACAGGCTTTCCCAAACTTCTTGATCGTTCTCATAAGGCAAGGAGGAACCTAAAACTTTTAGGGCCAATGGATTTCCATTTGCATACCTAGTCACTTTCTTTGCCAACCTTTCTAGATTTGGGTCAGGGATAGGGCAGTCTTTTCCAAAGGCATGTGAAGAGAAGAGTTTAAAAGCCCCATTAGAATCCAAACCCTTCAGTTCATATATAGCATCACGATCTACTTTAGTACCAAGGACTTGTTTATCTCCAGTTGTTATTAAGATTTTACTCCCTGGTTTAAACCAATCGCGTCTTCCAACCAAATTGTGTACTTGATCATAATTATCGACATCATCGAAAACAATGAAAACCTCTTTTCGTCTAAGTCTTGTCATGTCGTAAGAGCTAGTGTGAGGATTTTTATCCCCTAATAATGCCGAAATAAGATCTTTCTTCACAGCCTCTATTCCACGATTCTTTGACTTTTCTCCCACTTTTTCCACAAAGTAAGACCCTTCGTGATCGAAATGCCGCTTGTTATATAATGCTCTTGCAAGAGTTGTTTTGCCCAAGCCATCCATCCCCCAAATGCAAATTATTCGGACATCGTTGGACTCCGTGTCCAACAGTGATTCTACATCTTTCATTCTCTCTTCAATTGCAACCAAGTCTTCTCCGTTATCTTCATTTGGATACCGCTTGCCCAACTTTTTTTTAACACTTTCCACTATTTCTTTAATTTTGTCGGCTTCATTAGATCTGCACACCATTGAAAGAGTAAAGATGCACCAAATTTAATATCGCGTTATCTATTCAAAATTTTCAACTATCCCTAATGAAATGCAACTTCGAAGATTTGTCAATTTTGAAAATGTGTTCTTATTAATAGTTTTCTTGAGAAACATTACTCCTTCGTTCTTTATTATAAGAAATAATTATGAAGTATGTCATGTTTTTATAAGAAGTATTTAGAGGTTGCTCAAATTTTGTTTATCAATTTTTTATTTTACCCTATTTAATTACTCATATTTCTCATATTATTGCATTTAATTCCCACACATTCTATTTTTCACACTATTTTTCTTCCATAATGAGGGCATTTTTGACAAGAAGGTTATACTTTTTACCCATCCTCAACCTAATCTGGGTAATTGCCTATTATAAAAGGTAAGAAAGAGAGAGAGAGTACTAATATAAAATTTCAGCTTAATTTAACGGCTATGAATGCATCATAATGACCATAGTGAGACGGGGAAGCAGAAGAAAAATATTGTAGCAATAAAGTTGATGGGCCTAGTGGACTGGCCAAGCAAAGTGTATGTATATGAGATCTTATACTCTCATTATGATTATCGACTCCCATGAGATGCTCAAAGATTGATTTAATTTCGCCCCATGCATCATGGAAGAACATGGTAAGAGAAAGATCATAAGCATGTAGTTACCTATTGGTGATGGGGAAACCACATATACCAGCAGCTTCAGCGAGAGCCTCCCTCCACTTTTGCAGTTGTTGTATATCGATGTTTCTCTCGTGCTCATGTTCTTCAAATGCTTTCTTGTAACTCCTAGACTGCTTCCTCACACGTGAAGGATCTACTCTATAGAACACTGGCATAACACGGTGACCTTGATTTTTGTAGCACTCTAATATTTTTGTAAGCTCCTCCAAGCACCACGTGGAAGATGCATAGTTTTCTGAGAAGATCACAAGGGACATAGTTGAATCTTCAATGGCTTTCTCAAGAGAGGGCCATACCTCATCTCCTTTCTCAATTCCGTCGTCAACTCGGTTGTCGATGAATGTTTCTATTCCGTTTCTGCGAAGAGCATCGCAAAGATGGCTGGTGAAAGTTCCGCGGATGTCCTCACCTCTAAAACTTATAAAAACATCATTTTTCTTTGGAGATCGAGAAGATGGAGCAGGGGATGACCCTGAAGCCATATATTACTTTGCTTTGATATGCAAAAGAGAGTTGGGACTCGTCTCAACGGACGGTTGGACCGGTCTGACCGTCGACCGATATGTTTGACGGCTCGTTTCACGTGGATGGAACGTCTATGTAGTTGGGCCGTTTTAAGCCGGTCAGAACCGGTGTTTGAACCGAAAACCAGAGTTTAACCAGAAACTGTTCAAGTGTAATAAAACCGGACGGCTGGAAAAATGAGCCTGTGAGAAGAAGGGGATGAAGAAAAAAAAGTTGAGAGAAGGTGAGAAAGACCCATTCAAGTTATAGGAAATCTTACTACTAATAACAAATCAGAAGATCTACCTTTAATCACAGTCCCAAATCCATCTTTAAGCTCTAGATATCAGCAAAATGGAGAAACCATGCGAGGCGGCTTCAAAAACGCAGAGTCCAAGATGGCCACCTGAAATGCAACGGGAGAAGAGAGCAAGTAGGGTTACTTTTTGGCAGAGTTTCATTCCCTCGCCACGTGTCCCTTTTATTTGATTATAAAATTAATTTCACTGCAGTATCGTGTTGTCAAATTGTCACAACAAAGTTTACATTATCTTTTGCCTTCCCAGTAGGTAGGTCTGTATTTAATTTTATTTTTTTATCAAACATTACATAACATTAATTTATTACTTAATATCTTAATAATTTGACATGTTTTTGTATTTTTGACACTTTGATATTATATTTTTTAGCCATATACCATTATATATATAATATTATTTTTATTTAATTATTATGTTATTGATCCGACCAAACGATTTAATCGTTTAAACTATGGTCTACTAACTTTTTTAATTCGACTTCCAATCTAGTTTTTAAAACATTGGTTTTGGTTTGAAAAATATAAAACTGAACAAATAACCATTCAAAAAAGAGTAATAATATAAGAATATGTTGGCATTACATTTACAATGAAAAACCTCACATTTTTGTCCAGAGAAAAAGGAAAGTCTTATCATGGTTTTTCCAGTCAAAGTGAAGCCTTTCAATACAGCTGTAAATGTGGGCTGATCCGGATTGCGCGTGACGCTGAGAGCATGGAAACAACGTTCAAATAAGCGCAGAGTATCCGTACACAGTCGGATATATATATTTTTGTAGTGTAAGGAAGTGTTTGGCTCCAAACCATAGTTTCAGAAGCATTTTTACGGTTTATAAAGTAAATATGTAAAGAAGTTTATCTTATTTTACAAAAAAGTACTTCTGAAACCATGATTTGAAGGTTGTCAAACACCCCTAAGTTTGAAATCATTTACAAACATATTTTATATACATTAAAATAAAATTCTCTTATATTTATTTTATATTTTATAAATTATGATTAAAAAAACTTATTAATTATTCTAAACCCGCCTGTCATGTTTGCTTTTGCATTAGTACTAGTATTTTTCACGAATTCGTGGAACTTGTTACAGCAGGATGTGCATTTAATTTAATATCTGAAAAAAGCAGCAGTAAGTTGATAAGGATGAATTTGGATTGGTTCTATTTTTCCTGCTGTAAAATAAATAATAATATTACTCCACCTCATTCAAAATATAAATAGAGATTTGTTTTTATCGTAAATATTAGTATAGAATTTTTCTATAAAAAATATTTTTCAATATAAATGATTTAAAATAACATTTTGAGAAAATTAATTAATTCAAATTTTATAAATGGTTACTTTAATTAACTTGTTTAATATATCTTAATTAATTATTTAGCCATTACATAACTTAGATTTAAGAATAGAAACAGTGTTTTTTTCTGTCCACGCAAGCATCTTTGTGACCAGCGTGTAAGAAACAGAAACAGTATACACATGAAGCAAATTATTGAATAATTTTTTGCGCTAAGGTGGTCGAAATAAGATTTAATCCCACCACTTCTTGGATCCCCAAAAAAAAAAAGCTCCGGTCCTTAATATATGATCTAATTATTAAATTAATTTTGATCCTAAATATAAGACTTATTTTGCATATTCATCAATTTTTTTAAAATTACCCTTATGGATATTCGCTCAACTATAATCAAGTAGAAGAGGAAGAGAGAATATTAAAGAAGATGGTTATGATATTTTAAGAAAAACACGTCATATTTCTTATAATTAACTAAACACGTCATATTTCTTATAATTAACTAATTTACTTAACTTTCTTAATATAATTAGCTTAGTTAAATAGGTCTTATATTAGAGACAAAAAGAGTATATTTTTATTGAACCATAGAATCCATTTGTCAAGAGAGTGCGAAATAATATCTAAAATAACTATCAAAGTAAAAAGCTTGGTTTTAGGAAATTTACTGCATTCAAGACGAAATATATTACACTTGAAGTAATTTTCACCATTTCACATTAGCAATTTATAACCCTTTTTTTTTATACGGGTCACAATTTAAATCATCATTTACTACACTATAAGCGGTACCAAGTTACCAACAACATTAAGGTTGTCAATGCAACTTTTGTTCATATCAGACTGAGGGTCTGTTTGGGTGACCCTCAAAACTATATTTTGGGAGGTAAAATCATGGTTTTGGTGAGATGTCACCCAAACAGCATCAATTTTGAACCAATAATCTGAAACCATAGTTTGGACTGAAATCATGGTTTTGGAATCCAAAACCATGGTTTCAGGAGAAGTGAATTCATTCTGCTCCTGGCTCAAATTGGATAGATGATTGTGCCTGTTAGAGTAGATCTCAATAATAATATGACTTTAACATTTCTCAATTATTTTTTTATAAACATATTTAACCTTATATCTTATAAACATATATACACATATTAATTATTTATTAATTACATTATCTTATGTATTATTAATTATGTTGGTAAAAAATATATTATTAACAATTTTATTCCTTCAAATTTAAATATATCATAAAATTTATCTTTTATATAATTATCATATTAACTTATGTTTTTTTTAGTAATTTGTATATATAAAAAGTACTTTTGATAACAACTATCCAAATACTCTCACTTCTCAGAATCACTTTTTTACAAAATCTATTCTTCACAGAATTTACTCTTTTCAAAATCTATTCTCCAAAAACTATTCTCTAAACTATAGTTTGGTTTTATCCAAACACACCATGAATGGAAAAGATTAGCACCAAATGAAAAACGGAGAGCAGAGAGAGAGAAAATTACTCAATGTTCAATCAAATATCCTAATTGGTTTGAGTCACCGTATGTTACAGAACAAGTGGAGGACACGTGCAGCATCAGGAAAGAAAGCTTCCTTTGACTTTTGTACTGAGATCGTCAATCTGCCTATGAAAACGGAATCTCTTGGTTGGCTCAACGAACACGTTTAGTTATTGGCTTCTCCGGGTTTCAAAATGCTTTCATGAGTAGGTTACTTCGTAACTTATATGAAATTTTGAGTTTAAATTTTACTGCTGATATGAGATTTTTTTTTTTATGGATAATCGGTAAGTATTTGTATATGTATTTTTTAAATTTGAAAACATATCCCAGTTTTGATGAGCCTTCGGTACGTAAAAAAGTGAAGCCTTAACAATGACGTATAACCTTTTTAATATTTTTATTATGTGATTTTGTTACAATAAATTTATTTTTTTAAAAAGGTTATTTAGTATATAAAAATATTAAAGTGAATTAATAATCCAAAATTGAGCAATATACTTGTGTTCTTTACGACGAATGAGATGGCTAAAAGCAAAGCTAACTTTTATAGGCTTATAGAATAAAAAGCAGGTCGCGTGCTACTTCAGCTGAAACCAAGGTTTCAAGCTCAAAACCATGGTTTTCAAAAAAATAGGGGTGTTTGGCAAATTTTTTGCCAAACCAAAAAACCCAAACACCCTCACTACAAAAAAATTGACTTTCAGCGGCGACAAAAGTCGCCGCTGAAAGTACAAAAGTCGCCGCCAAAAGTTTTTTGCGGCGACAAGTCGCCGCTGAAAAGTCGTTGCCGTAGCAGCCGTGGCTGAAAACTTTCAGTGGCGACTAAAAAGGTCGCCGTTAAAAGATACTTTTAGCGGCGACTTTTAGAAGTTTCGGCGGCGACAAATGTCGCCGCCGAAAACACTTTCGGCGGCGACAAAAAAGTCGCCGCTGAAAAGCATTTCAGAGGCGACAAAAAAGTCGCCGTAGAAAACACTTTCGGCGGCGACACTCTTGTCGCCGCTGAAAGACTTTTCAGCGGCGACAAATGTCGCCGCCGAAAGTGTTTTCTACAGCGACTTTTTTGTCGCCGCTGAAAGTAATGCCTAAGAAGAATTGGCTTTACCAATGCCACGTCATCACCGCCGGTGCCACGTCATCGTCTCCGGCCGCCACATCAGCACCGTCGACCTCCACGTCATCGCCATCGGCGGCCACGTCATCACCGTCGACTGCCACATCATCACTAGCCACCTCCACGTCATTGCCACGTCACTCCTCCTCGCCACGTCATCATCTAAATATTTTCACCTTAAATGTGTGTTCTTCCAGGTTCGAACTCGTGACCACCTCCCTTCGTGTCCAACCTTCTTGCCGCTGAGCCAGATTGAATTTGTTTATTAATATTGTAAAATAAAATATATATTATTATATTATACTTTCAGCGGCGACAAAAAAAGTCGCCGCTGAAGGTCCACTTTCGGCGGCGATAAAAAATGTCGCCGCTGAAGGTCCATTTTCGGCAATTTGTTTATTAATATTGTAAAATAAAATATATATTATTATATTATACTTTCAGCGGCGACAAAAAAAGTCGCCGCTAAAGGTCCATTTTCGGCAGTTTATTAATATTGTAAAATAAAATATATATTATTATATTATACTTTCAGCGGCGACAAAAAAAGTCGCCGCTAAAGGTCCATTTTCGGCAGTTTATTAATATTGTAAAATAAAATATATATTATTATATTATACTTTCAGCGGCGACAAAAAAAGTCGCCGCTGAAAGTCCACTTTTGGCGGCGACAAAAAAGTCGCCGCTGAAGGTCCACTTTCGGCGGCGACAAAAAAAGTCGCCGCTGA